GAAGCAGTTGTCGTCTGCACCAAGTTTTCGTAAAATAAGAGGCAAAGTCTTTAGTTTTAAGGATGAGGAGGGATGGTGAATATCCGAGGAGAGAGAAGAACTGAAGCAATCACCTCAGAAAGACAGAAAATAAATTATGTAGTTACATGTGGCAGGATTGCAGAGCGAGGATGAAGAACCCCCTTGAGAGATGTCCGTACACTGGGAAGGAGACATTCAGCATAGCAGTACGTGTTCTTCTGCTTGAGTGCAGGGAATGGAATAGATAAGGTTCAAGTCTAATGAGCACTAGGATTTTGCCAGTTGAGTACAAAGACCATGATGTAATCACTGATAGTAATCCAGACCTGGAACCGTAAGACTCAGAGTGCAGCATCGACATCAGCTCAAGTCAGAATCTGCATCTTAGCAAGGTCTCTAGATGATGCTTACACACTCTGAAACATTTCTATGATATTAGGGAGAGGTAGAAGTCAGTGTGGGCCCAAACAGAGGAAGACATGCAAATGTAGGCTCTTGGGAAACTGACAAAATTTGAGAGAGAGTTTTAGATATACAAAGGTTATGAAATTAGGGGAGTTACCACATATCTAAAGGGCAGTGGCCCCATTGATAATGATGTTACATAATTAGGTATGTTCTTTTTGAAAATTAGCTGTTTTCCCCATACACTCCTCTCCCATCTGTAAAACTCTCCTGTCTTTATAAGTATAATTGTTTAAAGAGCTGGGAAACATACCAATGCATTAACATGAACATTATGTACTTATTAACCCTTAGGTTAGGTGCTTCTCAGGGGCAAGGTTCAATGGTACAGAAGAAAAAGAAGCACTGAAGGGCCAGATGGTGCAGCAATGTGTGGCTGGACCCACATGGGAGGGTCCCTAGTTGGTGTCCCAAGCCCCCACTGTGCACACTCAGTGTGCTCATGCTTGCCTGTGATTTAGGCCAAGGCTGGGAATGGGTCATGATATGGGAACTTAACAGGCCCTCTATCTCTCTCTCAGAGAAAATAAATTTAACTATAAAAACAAAATAAAAGAAGCAATGAAATCCAAAAATTTTTTAAAACTCTGAATTCTCATAAAAGCACCTACCAATATGTTCAACAAATAGCAAAATTATTATGTCACCTCTGTCTACTTCTGTTTAACTTACTCATTCTTTAAAAATAAGCCATCAAAGAATAGAAAGGGAAAAAGAACAGTGGATAATCAATCTCAGAATTTAAGAAGTGCCTGTTTATAAAATAACACACAAATTAAAGATCATTACTTTTCAAAAGTTTACATTCCATGCATTCAAGGCCTATGATTTTTCATATAGGGTTCAACCAGAATTGAGGAGAGTGAGCTGGGCACCTAAACTAACTTCTAAGACCATCAGGGTGTTCCATTATAGATGTTCAGCTCAAAATTCAGTCAACTCAAATTAGATGCAAAGCTGTAATTATTATAGAAAACTGAATTATAATTATCTTGGAATTCATCCATAAAAATATTCCCCAAATCTATTTTAACAATTGAAAACAGACCAAGATGTCTGAGCATATCTAACACTCATCTTGGTGTGCTAGTTTCATTCCAGCTAAATTTGCATTTATTCCTTAATCAGAGTGCTGAACCAGTTCTCCACTAAGAGGAAACAAATTAATTCTGGACTCTTAACAAAAACTCTAGTAGATATCCTATTTCTTTAGTATAATAAACCTTCAATCAACTAAGATGGAATAAGTACAGTATCCATTTTATGTGACTCAGACAATTCAACCAAGAAAAAAGTACATTTGAAAAATACACACACACACACACACACACACACACACATACACACACACGAATCGCCTTTATCTTTTACTTTACAAAGTAAAAACCAAGGACTCTGAATTTATTTTCACCCAACAGTGAAATAATTAAGAGCATACCCAGGATGCCAGAACTCTGGGTGCAGATGCCCGAGAGAGATAGCTGGGGTCTACACACAGCATTCAAAATGACAGTCTACTTTTAAAATAAGGAAAAAAAAAAAAAAAACACTGTAAACTTTATGCTTAAATATAGTGAACATCTGCCTATGTGATGTGATTTGGACTTTACAGTATAAAGTCTTCTAACTCTGAAAATGCTTTCTCTAAGGGCTGGCCCTATTGTTTATTGGTTAAGGAAGCTAGATATCCCACTCCACCTACCACAGTTTGAATCTCAGCCCTGGTGACTTGAAAATTACACTGAGCACATGTATCTCCATGCCCCGAATCCTAACAGGATAGAAAAATAGATGAGAAGGGATTTCAGCATAACGAGTCCTCATTACAGGATGCTTTCTCCCTCTCACTTCATCTCTCTGTGTGTGTCTCTCTGGTATGTGCATATGCCCTCTGGCAAATTAAAAAAGAAAGAGAGAGAAAAAAATGAACATAGAAGACTAAAGCCTAAATTTTTATTATTTCAGATCAATTCACACAGATCCCAACATTGTCTTCTGTTGAAATATCCTTGAGAGGGATTTCCACTATCAATGGTGAGTGTAAATTATTTGATGAGATCCCTGAGCTAGAAGTTTGATGAAGAGAGGATACAGATGGAACTGAATAAGAGAACAAAAATCATAATGCGGTCCTGTCAAAGGTAGGGTCCAGGAGAATATTCAACAAGGAGGCAAGAGACCATAGATGGGATCCATCCACCCAATCAAGGTGCCTGGTTTCTTAAAAGAAAAAGAAGCAAGCTGAATCTGATGATCTCTAACCCTTTCAAAAACATAAAGGCTTTTGTGAAGTGAGATAGGTCTAACTAAAAATCTAGAGTCAATCACAAAAGGGCTAGGTAAAGAGGCCAGCAGGTGGCATAGTGCTTAAGATGCTGGACTCCCATATGGCCAACTGAGGTTTGAGTCCCAGACCTAGTGGCTTGCTCTCTCACTTTCCCTTTCTCTCTCTGTCTCTCTCTGGTCAAATTTTTTAAATAACAAATAAAATAAGCAATTATTTCTAGAGATTTTTGCTGTAGGGCATGTGCACTCGCCAGAGAGACAGAGATAGACAGAGAGAAATCACCTCCCAAGGGATATGGCCAAGTCGAAGTCCCTTCTCCATCCTCCTCTCAGGATTGTGGGCACACATGCACTCGGCGTGAGTTTCAAGCCACCAGGACTAAGACTTGAACCACCGCCAACCATGTGGGAGCTCAGAGCCTTTAACCACTATGCCACTTACCCAAAAATAAATAATTCTTAAAAAAAAAAAAAAAGAAAGAAAAAAAACAAGAACAACAACTACTAAAAAGTAGGCTAGGGAGTGAGGGGGGTAAAGTGTCATTAATGAAGGTTATAATACCACTGGTGAAGAAAAGAGAGAAGGGACCCAAGAAAATATCCCACATTTGCAGTTATGCCAAAAGACTAACTTGGTTTGTTGAAAAGCAGTTCTACATTAAAATCACAGTAATGCTTCAGGTGTAAAAGGATCGCAAATAGAAACAAAGAAACAAACCCTAGTTTCATACTGAATCACTGCTATCCTTAAATTTGGATTTTAAAAAATGACGGAAACACACAACACTCAAAAGTAGTTTTGCCCAAGGAAATAATTTCTTAAAACTAAAAGGATAATTAAGTGTTGATGTATTTTCTGGCAAATGAAAAATGCTGACCTTTATGTTTTCTATCAAGAATACTAGCACCATAATGACGACAGAAAAAGTCATTCCTTTACTCAAAAGACATTTTTATAATGCCCAGTCTGCGTTTCTATGGGTTCTAAAAAGGGATACAATAAAAATAAAAAAGACATCTATATTCTTAAGTGTATAATAGAGTACAGAAAAGTATATGATAAATAAATTAATAAATACAATGCGATACAATGCAACTTGGGCTAAGCAAAGGTTAGGGGTTTGGAGGAAGCATTATTTTGGGGGGGGGTATTTTTATTTTTGAAAGATCACAGTGTCTTCACATATTCATTCACCCTGGCCAAAACTGAGAATATCTAAGGACAAAGTTTAGACGCTTAATAAAGAACAGCAGCTCTTGAACCATCTGCTTTGCTACAAAAATGAAGTTCTGTCACACGCAAATTTCCATTTTACTCCAACCTTGTGAGATTATTACTGTCAGATGAAGTAGGTAACATTTGTTATGTAAGTGACATGGTTAACAAATCATGCTTTACAAAACAGCTATGGTCAGTGCCTCTTTTGGGGGGATAAAGAAAAAACAAGGCAAATCATCATGCGAGTCCAAAAGTCACTCATTCTCAGCAAGTTCCTTTGATCCATTTAAGTGTCCTGTTACTAATCTTCTTCTGATGAAGAAATATGCAAAACACAGATTTAAAGGGAACAATAGAACCTTGTTATAGCCAGACATAGATACATTACAGAATTCCCTGGAGGTTCAAAAGAAAAAGAAAAGAACTGATTTCCCAAACTCGCACGCATAGAACTGTAGATTACAGTAGCCCAGGCACAGACGTGGTCCTCTTACCTGATAAGGAACAATACTGCCGTGACCTGTACCCCAGCGTTTCGCTTCCTTTTGGCCAATAAGGTAATTAGCAGCTACCTGGGTCAAACACGCCACCTATCAGGGGAAAAGAAAACACATCCAGTTGACAGTTACTCATAAACAGAATGTTATGATATGAAAAGGATCTCACTCCATTTCTTGCACAAGAAAAAAACTTTCCAAATGGAATAGAAAATATATAAGCATCTGTACTCTCATGGCACAAATGAAGAGCAGTATTACATTCCTGCCTGAGACTAAATAATTGTCCATTGCAACATATCAACACAAGAACACTCAGCTGCTGGAAAGATCATCTGAAGCTAGAGATTGGCCAAGCAGATGAAACCTTGGGCCAGCCTTTGCTATCAGAGCCATAGCAAAATCCATCAGCAGCTATTGTAGGGTATTCTTTCCTCTCTACCTGTGTCTTTTCACTTTCCATCAGTCCACTCGGAAAGCCTGTGCTGTCGCTGAGCAGGGGAAGCTAAGGAGAAGCTGCATTCCTCTGAACTTCTCGTTACATAAAGAAGTAATAATAATCAATCTCTGCTGTGTTTAAATCAGTTTAGTTTGGCTTTCTGTTATTTGCGACCCAAAGCTTATGACACGGTGGATCAAGACTGACTTTTTTCAGTCACTAATAGATAAAAAGAGTTCAATCAAAAATTACTGTACCTGCCCCAAGATAGTGTTAGCCCCATACTCAGTTCAGCTGTTGAGAACCACAGATCTACTAGAGGTGTCATCGAAATCCTTCGAGTCCGTTTCTGACTCGTGCAGTATCTCATGGACAGATCTTAGAAAACCTACACTGGTTCAGAGCCATTTGACAATGAACTAATGCCTGGTAATGTGCCACATGGATCTGATGCTCTGATAAATATCTATGCTTCTAGGGTCCAGACTATAGAAAAAGGTGACCCAGGGACTTTCCACAGTGTTCAGAAAAAAAAAGGTTCTGTCCTTATGACAGAATTATGATACAGCATGGGTTTGCTTTCCAACTTCTATATCGTCACTGGGATTGGGATCCTACCACGGCAGTAATTCAAACATATCCCAGATTGAAAGTGGTTCCTGAAACAATCAAGGGGTTATTTTTCAGGGTTGGTGCCGTAGCCTTCTACCACCCTCTTCCTAGAATGTAGCTGGGTCTCCTATGAGACATACTAAAGAACGGAGCCTGGATGCATCTCCTTGCTGCAGTGGCCAGTCTCCTCTAATTCAGTCCGGGGATTTACACTCACTTTTATGTTCATTTACTGCTCTGTCAAAATTGGAACTGCCTAGTGGCAGCTGGTTCGGCTGTACTGCCCAGGTGGCAAAACTAATAAACTTTGAGTCATCCACTTCTGGACTTCCATCTGGTCTTGGGCATTTGAACCATGGAGCATTCCAGGGCTGCCTGGGGCTGCCTAGTGCTAATCATCATTTCACAGATTACTTCTGTGTCTTTCAAAATGGGATACCAAATCAACATTTGGTAATAAAAATACCCTGGATGGAAAGTCCAGATTCATGGTTTCTAACTCATGTCAGCCTCGAAATAGTTACATGACTACAGGTTTATAATTTAACTTTTTTGACCTTCAGTTACATTCTTTATATAAAGTCTTCTGCATTTGAGCTAAATCAATGGTTTTCAAACTTTAAAAAAAAATTGTAACTTTTTATACCAAGCCAAATAATACGTCAATTCTGATTATAAGCAGGTAACATCCCAAGTATTCTAAACGAAGCAAAGGCAATTCTGCAACACCATCTCAGGTAGCGTGAACACAGGATATAATCTGCAAAATTGTAAATGACCTTACATTTGCTTCCACTTCAGACTCTATTATTATTCTTTTTTTTTTAAATTTTTTTGAGAGGTTTTTTCGCTATAGGGCGCTTGCGCTTGCCAGACAGAGACATAGAGACAGAAAGCAAGAAATCACCCCCCAGGGGGGATGGTCATGCCGCAATCCCTTCTCCTCCGTTCTCCTCTCGGGATCTTGGGCACGCACGCACACGCGCCCGGCGTGAGTTTTTTAAGCCACCGGGTCCAGGACGCGAACCGCAGTCGACTACGTGGGAGTCCAGTGACATAGCCATTATGCTAACTGCTGGTTCCCCAGACTCTATTATTATTCTTTAGTGTCTAGGAAATAAAAAGACAGAAGGGATGCAGTAGTAGTGATTTATCCATAATGCCTCTTTCTGAAATTGGGGAAACCTTGAGTCTCAGGTTTTTATTATAAGAGATAAACTTCTTGATCTAGCTATGTTGTTCTTTTAACTTTTTTTTTCCCACGTAAATTCCAATAAGAGTCACTCTCTAGGGGGCTCTAATGCTACTGGAGGCCAAGAATTCAAATTAATAAAGGTAATTCTTTGCAAGCCATTAAGCATAAGAGGCTTGTTATTTACACTACAATTTCAAAGTCACTTGATGGTCAATAGACTAACATCAGCAAGAGTTATGTGAGCTAGCAAGCTAGTGAGATGATCACAAGTTAACCTGTAAATTTTGAACTGATCTGGAACAGCTGCTAGGGTCAGACAATAGCTGGATTCATCCAGCTAGGCTGGATGTCAACCTAGCTGCCTTATATCTTACCCATGTCTTATTCTTTCTTTTCTATTTTTGACTTCTGTGTTTCTGACCCTACCCCATTTAGAGTGAGTTTGAATGAAGGGTCAGAATTTAACTCTCAAATTATTTTTAAATGGAACTCCATATCCATTTCTCCATACAGTGGTAATTCATGAAAACAAAAAGTATTTAGAATTAGCAGGCTCCCACTAAGCAGAAGGGTTAAATAAGATTTTTAAGCCAGTTGCCATCAAAAAACAAAGTGTGATTTGTCAGTAACTACTCAGAGGCAAAGTTGGAGGGGAAAAAAAGAATTCTATTTAAAAATGAGAGCAACAAGGCTAAACTTAGCAACTCGATGTTCAAAGGGGGCATTAAAAATCTGAAAGTAATCTACTATTTACAAGAATGTATTTTAAGGCAGGAGAAGGGGGAGAAAGTCAGCAGCTATGATATGATTACGTATGAAAAATCAGAGGTTTCCTGGGCAATTAATGACAAATTTTCCACAAATTAAAAGAATGCAGGATGTGACTTTTAGGTTAATAACTACATACTGTATATCCATTCTAAATATTGCATTAGATCATTACTTTCATCCCCTAAACTTAGCCTCATTATTTCATCAAGTGGACGCTATATAATTTACTCAGAATGTTGCCTTTACATGGTTTCATTTAAACAAAAAAAACAACTTTGGTTTAATAATAATCATTCTGACAGCAAAACTATTATTTTAGATAATATAGTGGGTCCTGATATTCTTTTTGTCTAACCGGAAACCAATGGGGTGGTCAAAGCAAATCTCAAAGGACATAGCTCTAAAAGACTTAAGGAAGAATATACCCAGTTATTTATCAAAGCAGCCCCACAGTGTATGTCACCATATGACAAAGATCAAGTCAATAGAATAAACTTTTTCATCTCCTAAAGGACAACCACTTATGACATGTAAAACAGAAAACAAGGCTAGAACAATGGTTCATTGCATCAAAATAGGTAGTTTTTTTCTTCCTCCTCCCTTGCATACATTCTGGTCTTCAGCTAAGCTGACCACCCATTCTTCAAAATCTGTTTCAATATCATCCTTTTGCATTAACTCATCCATCTTAACCCATGTAAGAAAATATTTTCCCTACCTCTGAATGAATACCACACCTTAATTTACTTGACTTATGCTATATTTTCAGTCTTTTTATAATTTTTAAAATCTTAAATAAATTCATGTAGTATTATTTTAACAATTAAAGAATCAATATTGACATTTCCTTAACTTTTACTTTCCTTTGTTAATTTTTACATTTTGGGGAGCCAGCAGTTAGCGTAATGGCTATGTCCCTGGACTCCCACGTAGTCGACTGCAGTTCTCGTCTGGGACCCGGTGGCTTAAAACTCACGCCAGGTGCGTGTGCATGTGTGCCCAAGATCCTGAGAGGAGAATGGAGGAGAAGGGATTGCGGCATGACCATCCCCCCTGGGGGGTGATTTCTCGCTTTCTGTCTCTATGTCTCTCTCTGTCTGGTGAGTGCACGCACCCTATAGCGAAAACCTCTCAAAATAAAAAAATATTTTTATGTTTTTCATTTCAAAATCCTGTCCAGGATACCACATTATATTAATATTTAGTTGTCATGTCTCATTAGATTCCTCTTGGCTGTGATATTTCTTCATATGTCCTTATTTATGATGACTTAGACAGTTTTGAGTACTGACCAGGTATTTTGTAGAATGTTCCTCAACTGGGAGTTTGTGATGTTTTCCTCAGAGTTATGTTGTGTTATGGGGATTTGAAAAGAAGACCATGAAAGTAAAGTGTAATTTTCAATATATCATAGTAAACTGTCCACAATTTCATATTGGTCTTTTCCACCTGACCATGCTGGTGTCTGTCAGTTCTCTCACCGCAAAGTGCCTCTTGTTTGTCCCCCTTTCAATATCATACTTCCTGGAAGGATGTCACTATGTGCAGTCCTTACTGAAGAGTTGGGGAGTAAGGCTCCTTCTGTAGTGCAAGTATTTGCATATATTATTTAGAATTCTCCTGCACAGGAGATGTGTCTCTTCTTCTGTTTATTTATTTATCCAATCATCCATAGCATCGTGGTCATGTGCATGTTTGTTTTATACTCTGGACTGTAATTCAATGCCACTTTATTTTGTCACTCAAATTATTCCAGTTTGGACCATTGGGAACTCTTTTGGTTAGTTCCCATGTCCCTTTGACACACCCCATCATTGAGGGTCTTAAGCACTTCCGTACTTTGTGGCATTACAAGATGCTCTAGGCTCATCTTCATATTTCCTTTCTCAGACTTACAAGATAGCATAAAAAGAAGAAGGGTAAAGAAAGGGAATAAATATTTTGGTGTCAACCAGTACCATATTCATTCCCTCATTTATTAAAAAATATTACTATCACACCCACTGTGTGCTTGGAACTATTCTAGGCAGTGGGGATATAACAGTGGGCATGACTGCAGGGTCCTACTCCCATGAA